ACGAGAGAGAGTATGTATTATTATCAGCGTCCCAAGAGGTTTACAAGTACATAAGAGTCGTTTAAATAGGTTTAGGAAAACCTAAACTGAGATTAGAGCCGCAGGCCCAAAATTAAGCCTGTTTTTAAAATTCCCGTCGCCTGACCCGGTCGGGTCTCTTATTTGACCCGGTCGGGTCTCCTTCACAGAACACAAACCCGGTGGAAACCAGGTCGGGTTTCCAAAACAGAAGGCTTCTGCCTTGCTGACCCGGTCGGGTCCCTTCCCTGACCCGGTCGGGTCTCACTTCCAGTGATATCCCCCGGTCTCTGCTTCATCATACCCGGTCGGGTGGCCAACCATACCCGGTCGGGTATCTGCTCTGAACCTAAGAACAAGACTCCATCTTCAACAATCTCCCACTTGGAGGCTTGGTCAACAATTATCTGCCATCCAAGAACATGTATCTTCTGTAAAACCCCTGATTTCTCTCTCTTTTTCTCTTTCTCTCTCGTCCGCGCCTTCTCATCAAGTATCTGGAAGGCCCGTTGAAGCCATGCATAGCTTCAACTTCTCCGTTGTCACCGCCTTGGTAAGCATGTCTGCTGGATTCTTCGTTCCAAGGATCTTCTTCAAATTTATAGTACCATCTTCAATCAATTCTCGAATGAAATGATACCTCATCTTGATGTGTTTCGTTCTGCTGTGAAACACCGGATTCTTCGCGAGATGAATAGCACTCTGGTTGTCACAGTATAGACCACAATCCCCCTGTTTCATGCCCAACTCCAAAAGAAAGTTCTTCAACCAAATCATCTCCTTGGCCGCTTCAGCAATAGCCATATACTCTGCTTCTGTGGTTGAAAGAGCTACACTCTTCTGTAATCTGGACATCCAACTGATTGCCGTACCTCCAATAGTGAATATGTAACCCGTAGTGCTCTTCCCGGAATCATGACAGCCCCCCAAATCAGCATCTGCAAAACCTTCTAGAATTGCTCCATTCCTCCTGAAACAAAGAGCAATTTCAGAAGTACCTTTCAAGTAGCGTAACAGCCACTTGACTCCTTCCCAATGTTCCTTCCCTGGATTTGACATAAACCTGCTAACAACTCCCACTGCATGAGCAATGTCCGGCCTTGTTGACACCATTGCGTACATCAAGCTGCCAACGGCTGATGCATAAGGAACTTTAGCCATCTCATCTTTGTCTTCATTGGTCTTTGGAGACTGCTGCTTGGAGAGTTTCAACTGACTCCCTAACGGTGTACTCCTTGGCTTGGCATCCGTCATTCTGAACTTCTCAAGGACCTTCTGAATGTACTTCTGCTGTGAAAGCTTCAAAGTACCTTCCACCTTGTTTCTGACTATGCTCATCCCAAGAATCTGTCTCGCCTCCCCTAAATCCTTCATCTCAAATTCTTCAGACAACTTCTTCTTGAGCTTGTTGATCTCCTGCATGTTTGCTCCAGCCACCAACATGTCATCAACATACAAAAGAAGAATAATGTATGAAGACTCGAATTTCTTCAAGTAACAGCAATGGTCCATCTTGCATCTAGTGTACCCATTCCGCTGCATAAAACTGTCAAACTTCAAGTACCACTGTCTAGGAGCTTGCTTCAGCCCGTATAGACTCTTCTTGAGTTTGCACACCATCTTCTCTTTACCACTCACTGGGAAACCTGCTGGTTGGGCCATGTAAATGTCTTCTTCAAGGTCACCATGAAGAAAAGCAGTCTTCACATCCAGCTGCTCCAAATGCAAATTTTCAGCAGCAACGATACCAAGGATCAACCTGATAGTAGTCATCTTCACAACCGGAGAGAAGATTTCATTGTAATCAACCCCCTTCTTCTGTTGGAACCCCTTGACAACTAGCCTCGCCTTGTATCTTTTGCTCCCATTAGCTTCATCTTTGATTCTGAACACCCACTTGTTCTCCAAAGCTTTCTTTCCCGGTGGTAGCTTGACTAAGGACCAAGTTTGGTTCTTCTCAAGCGAATCTAACTCATCCTCCATGGCCTTCTTCCACTGTATGGAATCCTTCACGGTCAGCGCCTCTGAGTAAGATTCTGGTTCTCCATTCTCGGTCAGCAACAAATAATTTGCTGAAGGAGAATATCTGTTAGGAGGTCTTCTGATTCTGGTGGACTGTCTGACTTGAGGAGTAGCTGCCTCTGAATTTTCACCATCTTCATCACTCCCACTATCTTCAGACATTCCTGTATCTCCTGAGCTCCCACTGCTCCCTGAACCTCCTGTTGTCTCATCACAACCAACAGGTTGTGCTATGTCATCTTCAGTCATCCCGTCAAACACCACTTGTTGCTTGTTTTCTGGTTGCTTGGCTTTGCTAGTTTCTGCTGCAAGACCATCTTTATACAGGGCATTCTCGTTGAAAGTGACATCTCTACTTCTGATAACCTTCTTGCTGTGGTTGTCCCAGAACCTGTAGCCCATGTCATCCATCCCGTACCCAATAAAGATACACTTCTTTGCCTTTGCCTCGAGCTTGTCACTATCTGCATCTCTAACTTTGACATAAGAAATACAACCAAAAACTTTCAAGTGAGTAAGAGATACCTCTCGACCTTTCCATTCCTCTTCTGGAATTTTGAAACCTATGGGAGATGAGGGTCCTCTGTTGATCAAGTATGCTGCTGTGTTCACCGCATCGGCCCAGAACATCTTTGGAAGTCCTGCATGCAATCTCATGCTCCTGGCCCTCTCATTCAGTGTTCTGTTCATCCTCTCTGCAACACCATTTTGCTGTGGTGTTTCTGGAACCGTCTTCAGCATTCTGATCCCCTGTTCAGCACAATACTCTACAAATTCTGTGCTACTGTACTCACCCCCATTATCACTCTTTAAACACTTAATCTTAAGATTTGTTTCATTCTCAACAGCAGCTTTGAACTTCTTAAAAGTGTTAAAGACATCGGATTTATTCTTAAGAAAATAAACCCATACCTTCCGTGTAGAGTCATCAATGAATGTAACATAGTACCGGGAACCTCCAATCGAAGAGACCTTTGTCGGTCCGTAGACATCTGAATGAATCAACTCCAGCCGCTCAATCTTGGGTTGCTGCCCTGTCTTCACAAAGGTTACCCTCTTTTGTTTGCCTAGAACACATGGCTCACAAAAGCTCAACTTTGAATTCTTCAAATCTGGGATTTTGCCCTTTGAAGACAGCATCTTCATTCCGTTCTCACTTATGTGCCCAAGTCTTTGGTGCCACAAAGTAGAGACCCCTGTATCTTCAACTGCTGCGTTTGCCCCATCTGTGGACACTTCAACCATGTACAGTGTACCATGCTTCTGCCCACGAGCAATGACCAGCTTTCCCTTTGTCACGTTCCATTGCTTGTTGCCAAAACTAACGTTATGGCCTTCCTCATCAAGCTGTCCAACTGAGATCAACATCTTCTTCAGGTCTGGAATATACCTCACATCTTTCAGTCTCCAGGTTGTACCCAAAGTGGTACTGAGATCAACATCCCCAATACCCGTGATCTCTAGGGATTTGTCATCCGCCAAACGAACTCTTCCGTTGTAGGGCCTGAAATTTTTCATCAAATCCCTGCAATGACAAGCATGAAACGACGCACCTGAATCCATGATCCAGGACTCAACTGAATTCTCAACGCTGCAAATTAGAACATCTTCATAATCCTCTGCCACGTTCACCTCCTTCTTGCCTTTGTCTGCAGGGGGTTTTGGGCACTGATTTCTGAAGTGTCCATTCTCTTTGCAATTCCAACAATTGATGTCCTTCCGGTTCTTGGATTGCCCTCTCTTTCTCGACTTCGATCTTCCCTTCTTGTTACCTCCTCTAGTGGATTTTCTGCCCCTATCTTCAGTACTCAACAAACTGTTGGAGCTATCCCCCGAACTCCTCCTCCGGATATCCTCACCAAGGATTAAGTCACGAATACCTTCAAAGGTAAGCTTAGTGGTTCCAGATGAACTACTAACCGCTGTGACTGTACCGGACCAACTATCGGGCAGAGATGATAACAAAAGTAATGCTTGGACTTCATCATCGAATTTAATCTCAACCGAGCCTAACCTGGATATGATTGAATTAAACTCGTTGATGTGATCTGTCACGGATGCGCCTTCCTTCATTCTTGTATTCACCAACTGTCTAATCAAGAAAACCTTGTTTGCTGCTGAGGGTTTCTCATACATTTTGGATAACGCCTTGAGCAGTCCGAACGTTGTCTTCTCGTTGACGATGTTGTAGGCAACGTTCTTCGCCAACGACAACCTCACCACACCAAGAGCCTGTCGATCCAACAAATTCCATTCCGCCTCCGTCATCGTTTCTGGTTTGTTCTCAGACAACGGTTGATGAAGCTTCTTCTGGTAGAGATAATCCTCGATCTGCATCTTCCAGAAAGCGAAATCTTGACCATCAAATTTATCGATCTTAACCTTCCCTTCGTCAGCCATAGCTCTGATACCAATTGTTACGATTAGGTAAAGATAAACGATAAATTAAGAGCAAGAACACAAGAATTAACGTGGTTCACGCAATCGGGGTGATTACGCTAGTCCACGGCGAACGAGAGAGAGTATGTATTATTATCAGCGTCCCAAGAGGTTTACAAGTACATAAGAGTCGTTTAAATAGGTTTAGGAAAACCTAAACTGAGATTAGAGCCGCAGGCCCAAAATTAAGCCTGTTTTTAAAATTCCCGTCGCCTGACCCGGTCGGGTCTCTTATTTGACCCGGTCGGGTCTCCTTCACAGAACACAAACCCGGTGGAAACCAGGTCGGGTTTCCAAAACAGAAGGCTTCTGCCTTGCTGACCCGGTCGGGTCCCTTCCCTGACCCGGTCGGGTCTCACTTCCAGTGATATCCCCCGGTCTCTGCTTCATCATACCCGGTCGGGTGGCCAACCATACCCGGTCGGGTATCTGCTCTGAACCTAAGAACAAGACTCCATCTTCAACACACCACTCTCTATCTGTCAGATTGTGATTATAGTCTAATTTACATCCTCCCATCGTGGCGTGCGGTCGGTGTTGGGGGCCTCAGGGATGTGATGTCTTTTTTTTTGAGAAGTGAAAGAACGTGATTCGCTTCCTCTTTTGACTTGTCTTTGAACCATTTGGCGGAGAGTCTCAAGACTCTCAACTGCCAACCGTCTGTTCAGGCTAGAAAGGTGAATTCCTGAAAAAATGGATTAAATATTAATTTATACAGTACCCAAATCCCTATATATTTTAGCGACGAAGTTTGAAATTGAAGGATATGCTTTTATGCGATTCGCATCCATTCGCGCATTATTCGGGGTCATAGTTCCCAATTGTCTTCGAACAATTTCACCCTAAGCCCAATTATTCTTCGCCCTTGTATATCTTTCTCCCATAATTCTCATAGCGGTCTGAATCTACACTACAAGTTGATAGATTGCAGGCTTTCATTTTCTAATCCTAATCTCTTACCCGAATTCGTAGAGGCGATGGCCGGAGTTGTTGATCTCAATGGCACACAAGTCGTCGATGAAATTCGGGATCTTTCTTTGGAGGATCAAGATCAGGTTATCGCATTTCTCTTTAAATTTCTTCGCCGTTTCTTAATCTTGTACATCTTGTTGATTAATTTCGTTTTATTCATCTTCAGACGAGGCACTAATTTCTTATCCTAAACGTATTTTTTTCTGAAATTGTGTAATTATTAGAATTCAATTGGAGATCCATACAAAAGCAAGGAGCACAAACTCACCCGAAATAAGATTACTACCAGTTTAATCTAAAGTTCTAAACTATTGTAGAATAGTAAAATGCCTTATTTGATCGGTGTCACTTTTTGTACCAAGGTTAAAAGTTGAAACCCGCTTATTATTTAGAGTACTTTATTTGTTCTTTCAGAGCCAGGGCCTTCAGTTATTAGATTTTTTGCTGATTGATGAGTATAAGTAATATATTATAGGAATGTTTATAATACAGGAGCCAATGCTCAACTGATTTCGTAGTACTTAGAACAAAACCTTGGCTTATTAATAGTGAAAGAAAAGAAGAAACATAGAGCAAGATAGGTAGCAGAATAGAGAAAGAAGATAGAGAAGAGTTCTGATTTTTTGATATGAAAATTGATTACAAAGGAGGTGTTTTTATATAAAAAGTGAAATATACTCCTAATTGACGCAGTTGATGTTGTTATTCCCTAACTTTTCAGCTAAGATAGTTTGTTAGACATGAGCTATACCAGGTCTCCTATCAGTTCTACAATGCATCCCAACTAGTATTAGTTTATCTGCCCATACTTGTTAGTTGAGTTTGAGAATATTTCAAAACCCTGTCACTGTTGATCACATTTGATGAGTTAGGCGCTGATTGGCATGCATGTTCAATTGTCAGGGTGTAGTGAATAACACATCTGCACCTGATGAGACGCCACAAGATGAGTGTGATAACCATCATGGAATTTGTGCAATATGTTTGAGAATGATACCGCTTCAAGAAACTGCTCTTGTCAAAGGATGCGAGCATGCGTACTGGTGTGTCTATTTATCTTGTACCTCTTTTCATGTATATTATGATTGGAATTGGACATATACCGGGTAAAGATGTATCATTTTCATTTTGAAACACTATTATGACTAAGGTAAATGAGTTGAAGCAACATTCAATGGTTTATCAGTCTTTAGGTCTGTTAAGACTTAAGATCAATGGTTTTGGAGGGGGTTAGAGGGGAAAGCTGTGTGGAGCTTAAAATATATCTTGATAAACCAAATGGTTCTGAAAACATATAGAAAGTATTTAGTTTCCTGCTATCACATATTTGAGGTCAAGATGTAATCTTAGTCGTCCAATACCTTCCCCTCCTAAACCCTCCAAGAACCTTAATCCAAATAGATCATAACTGTTTCTTCCTAAAGATAGAGAGATGGACCGTATACTAGAACATCATTTGAGGTTTCAGTGTTATAGAAGTGCTGTTTATTTCTTTCACACATATTCACATTTGTAAGAGTTTACTACAGATTTTTTGTTTGAATTTGAATGAAAATCATTTAAAGAATGCATACATAATATTCTTAGGACAACTGTCATTTTTGGCTGGTTATTTTGTGAAAGAATACTGTAACTTGCAGCATAACCCTAATTTTAGTTTTTTCTTAATCGGTTCAGAATGTGTTGCAAGAAGGGACAACTTTTCAAATTATTACACTCTTTGGGTGGTCAGAAGTTACATTATTAATGGGATATTAGGATGTGGTTTATTTCTATGTGCAATCTGACTTCTCTCTTTCTCTTTGCATGCTCTATGTATTGAATATTGATCAATTGATGGGTTGGATTCATGAGAGGATGATTTTATTTTACAAATCTACATTAAGAAGCATGGAAATGTGTTAGAAAACTCCAACTCTAGTCTTACAGATCACAGAATTGGTTCAAGAAATATCTCAAAGGCAACTTTTATTCTCAAAGGCAACAATGGCCGAAGGCCTAAGGCAACAGACTGCGTACAGTTTACAATTCAAATTCAGCATCCCTATTACATCTTTCTAACTTCTATTTATAGACCTCAGCCACCCAGCCATAGTCCTTATCTAATAATCCCCCCCAAACACTTATTACACTTATTCTATTTTTTTATATTCTCTATAGGTCTCTAACATACCTCCCCCTTAAACATCCACCTTGCCCTCAAGGTGGGTGAAAGGTAACAGCCAAGACTTCCGGCTTCTTCTTCATTCTGGTACTCCTGCCTTTCCAATATTCCACAAATTTCTGATATAAAAGCTTCATTAATAGATCTTTCCAGCTCACAGATTTTTCCAGAGCCTCTTTGCTATTGTGATGCAACACATGAACTGAACCACCTTTCGTGCCTGAAGATACAAAGTCAGCACCTTCCTTGGTCTGGATAACATGATCACTAATCTTCTGTTCCATGTTCTGTCCCTGTTCTTTATCCTTACAACACAGTAGATACCAATCCACAGTTGGTTGCATAATCTGTGCAGTGTTTATGTTAAGATCATCCTTTTCATTCAGAGCTATATCCCCTTTTATGGAACAGATCTGATTGCCTTGCTTCCAAGTGATGGACTGGTATTTGAAATTGATTGCCATATTTCCCAATTGATTTAACCATTCCATGCCTAGCACCAATTCTGTCCCTCCTAACTCTAAGATGTAGAAAGCTTGTTGTATTACACTCCTTTGAACATCTAATTTCAGCCCCATACATCTGCCATTATTGGAAATGAACTCTCCATTTCCAGTCTGGACCCTATAACCTTTGATTTGTTGGAAAGGAATTTTATACTCATCCACCAGTTTCTGTGAGATAAAATTGTTGGAAGCACCACAATCAATGAGGACCTTTACTGGTTTCTCTCCTGAAAACCAGCTTAGTATTCCCATTACCTTAAAAGTTCTCCAAGACTGTATATCTTCATTGTTGAGCACAGATAATTGCAATGATTTGAGTTCAGGGTGAGGTCCCTCTTGTTCATAACTGCTGCCCTCCACTTCAGTTTCTTCCTCTCCTTCTGAAAGTTCCATCAAAACCATTCTGAAATTTTTCATCTTACATATATGCCCCCTATTCCAGTTCTCTCCACACTTGAAACATAAGCCTTTCTTACTCCTTTCAATTAATTCTTGCTGAGATACTCTGGGGCCTGTTTTTCCAGAACTAGACCCTTCACCAGTCTCCATATATTTGTTGTCACTGAGATTCCTTCCAGACACATGCTGCAGGCTTGAATTACTGCTATTCTTATTCCCTTCTTCCCCTTTTTGGTAACTGTTCACTCTTACAACATTGCTTCTCCAAGGCTTTTTTCCTTCTTCTTTATTTCTTCTGTGCAAAATTTCCTCATTTTTATCCTCAATCACCTGTGCAATGTCCATGATTTTGCCCAGATCTTTGGTTTTGTACAATTTAAGCTCAGCCCTGATATCTTTCTTTAGTCCATTCAAGAATATCGCCCTCATTACCTTCCTATCCAGTCCTTCTTGACAGGATATAGCGGTTTCAAATTGTTCTCGGTATTCTTGTACAGAGTTCTTATGTTTCAGCTTCAGTAAAGGACCCAAAGGATTCTGAATCAATTCTGGCTGAAATCGACGGAGCATTGCCTTCTTCAATTGTTCCCAAGTCTTTACTCTTTCTTGTTTCTCCCACCATTGAATCCATCCTAAAGCTTTGCCTTCCATGGCTACTACCGCCACTTCTATCTTCTCTTCTTCTTGTGTTTTGTTGAGTCGGAAATACCTATCAATTCTGACAAGCCAACCGAAAGCATCTTCACCGTTGAATAAAGGTAGGTCAACCTTCCTGTGTATCGGTTGATGTTGGCGACGTCTGTGTGGTTGATCGAACTCCAGGTGATCTTCCGATCCTTCGGAAGAACTGTCAGACGATCGTCGTGTGTGATGATGATGATGCGTCGAATGAGGCAATGAACGGTGCGAGGATCGATGCGAAGCGTGTGAAGTATGCGATGCGTGCGACCTGCTACGCGATCGACTCTCTCCTCGCGTTTCCAATTCCTCGTCTCTTGTTGCGATTTTTCCAATTCCTCTATTCTGGCTTCCATCTTCGCGCGCGTCACTACCATCCACAGTGAACGAGGTCTCTGATACCAATGTTAGAAAACTCCAACTCTAGTCTTACAGATCACAGAATTGGTTCAAGAAATATCTCAAAGGCAACTTTTATTCTCAAAGGCAACAATGGCCGAAGGCCTAAGGCAACAGACTGCGTACAGTTTACAATTCAAATTCAGCATCCCTATTACATCTTTCTAACTTCTATTTATAGACCTCAGCCACCCAGCCATAGTCCTTATCTAATAATCCCCCCCAAACACTTATTACACTTATTCTATTTTTTTATATTCTCTATAGGTCTCTAACAAAATGTGATAGGTACCTGGCGGAGATCTGAATGTAAACAGTAAAGAGCAAACACCGTTGTAATAAAAGTAATAGGGGAATGATATATTGATGATAAGGGTAGACAGCAGATACAACTGACTTAGGCAACAGGGACTCTCAAGGCAACTCTACATCAAAATAATAGTCTGCCCTAATAAGCTATGCCCTCTTTCTATTTATAGTAAAGATATCCACGCAGGGATAAAAAAGGCTAAAAGGGCTACTGGGCTTGTTATTAATTAATGGACTCCCTATTTCTCCTCCTGTAAACTTTGTTAAAATACTGGATAGGCCCCTTAGTCCCATCAATACTCCCCCCCTGAAAATTCACCTTGTCCCCAAGGTGAAAATCAGGAAATTGCTCTGTTATTGCTTGAAGGGACTCCCATGAGTCTTCAAACTGTGGCAGGTCTTTCCAGTGCACTAACACCTCCATCTTCCCCTCCTTATTCCTTCTAGTATCCAGGATCTTTTCAGGCCACACCTGCAACTCCCATTCCTCATTCAAGCACTTAGGTAAAGGTTGATATACAGTTGTAGGTGTGATGGCTTTCTTCAGCAGTGAAATGTGAAAGACTGGATGGACCTTGCTCTCTGCAGGTAGCTTGAGTTTAAAGGCTACTGACCCAATCTTCTCCAGCACCTCAAATGGGCCATAGTATCTGGGACTGAGTTTTTGATTTAGCCTCTTGGCTAATGTTCTGAGTTTGTATGGTTGGATTTTTAAGTAAACCATGTCACCCACTTTCAGCAACACTTCCCTTCTGTGCTTGTCAGCCTGCTGCTTCATTTGGTTCTGGGCTTTCACCAAATTATCCTTCAGTTCCCTTATCATTTCATTCCTGCTCGCAGTCAATTTAGATACCTCTTCCACCGCAGTCATAGTTGTATCCCCCCTGATCACAGCAGGTGGGTCCTGCCCATATAGGGCCTTGTAGGGGGTCATCTTCATGGAGGTATGGTAATTAGTGTTGTACCAGAACTCAGCCCATGCCAGCCACTGTACCCATTGCCTAGGCTTTCTACCTGTCAGACACCTTAGGTAAGTTTCAAGGCATCTGTTTACCACCTCCGTCTGACCATCAGTCTGAGGGTGGTAAGCAGTGCTATACTTGAGTTGAGTTCCGGCCAATTTGAACAGCTCAGACCAAAACGTGCTCAGGAAGATGCTGTCTCTATCACTCACAATTGTTTTAGGGAATCCATGCAACCTTACAATTTCCTTAGTGAAGATATCAGCCACTTCCTTGGCATTATATGGGTGTGAAAGGGCCAGAAAATGCGCAGATTTGGTTAATCTATCCACAATAACCAGAATGGTGTCCTTCCCCTGTGACTTTGGCAATCCCCCAATGAAATCCATGCTAATATCAGTCCATATGCTCTGAGGTATGGGCAAGGGTTGTAGTAAACCACCTGGTTTCAAAGCTTGGTATTTATTGGTCTGGCAGACAGCACACTCCCCCACAAATCTTTGAATGTCTTTCCTCATACCCTGCCAATAAAATAGATTAGAAATCCTCTTCATTGTTCTGAAATATCCTGAGTGACCTCCTATTGCTGAGCTGTGGTATTCATTCAGGATTTTGGTCACTCTGGGGGAGTTCTTAGGTAGCATCAGTTTCTTCTTGTAGTACAATAAGCCTTTAATGATCTGAAATTCAGAATACTTATCTGGGTGGGAGATAATATTCTGAATTAGGGCCTGGCATTTCGGATCTGCAGTCAACTCCTCTTCTAGTCCCTCCCACTCCTGGCAAGTGACAACTGACAAGGAATTTAGGGTAGGCCTCCTAGATAAGGAATCAGCAGCTCTATTCTCCACTCCGGGTTTGTATTTGATGGTAAAGTTATAACCCAGGAGCTTTGAAGTCCACTTTTGTTGCTCTTCTCCCATTAATCTTTGTTCTGTAAGAAACCTTAAACTCTTTTGATCAGTGTGTATCACAAAGGTCCTCCCTAGCAGATAGGGTCTCCATTTCTGAACAGCTAGTACAATGGCCATTAACTCCCTCTCATAGACCGATTTGTTTTGGTTTCTTTTGGACAGTTCCTTGCTCATATAGGCCAAGGGTCTTCCCCCTTGCATCAGGACAGCACCTAAACCAGTTCCTGATGCATCTGTCTCCAGTATGAATTCCTTGTTGAAATCTGGTATAGCAAGCACAGGCAAGGTTGTCATGATTCTCTTTAGTTCCTCAAAGGCCTGGGTGGCTGCAGGACCCCATTGAAAACAATCCTTCTTCAAGAGTTGGGTTAGGGGCAAGGCAATTTTGCTATACCCCTTCACAAATCGTCGGTAGTACCCCGTTAACCCAAGGAATCCCCTCAGCCCCTTCAAATCTCTAGGCTCTGGCCATAGGGTCATGGCCTCTATTTTGGTAGGATCTGCAGCAACCCCATCTTCAGATATTATGTGCCCTAGGTAGGTTAGCTGTGATTGCCCAAATGAGCATTTCTTGGGGTTTATGACAAGCTGATTCTCCCTGAGAGCTCCCAGTACACTCCTCAGATTATCCTGATGATCATCCTTAGTTCTGCTATATACTAAGATGTCATCAAAGAAGACTAAGGCGAATTTTCTGAGAAATGGTTTCAAAACCTGATTCATCAGTGCCTGGAAAGTGGATGGGGCATTTGTGAGGCCAAACGGCATCACCAGGTATTCGTAGTGCCCCTCATGTGTTCGAAAAGCTGTTTTCTGTATGTCTTCCTTCCTCATCCGTATTTGGTGGTATCCAGACTTGAGATCCAACTTGGAAAATATCACAGCTCCTCCCAGTTCATCTATCAACTCTTCAATGATTGGTATTGGGAACTTGTCAGGTATAGTGATCCTATTGAGGGCCCTATAGTCCCCACAGAACCGCCAGCCCCCGTCTTTCTTCTTGGCTAGCAAAACAGGACTACTGTAGGGGCTGTTACTGGGCTGAATAATTCCTTCACTTAACATTCCTTTGATGATCCTTTCAATCTCACTCTTCTGGTATTGTGGGTACCTATAGGGTCTTATGTTTGGGATGGAGGCTCCCTCTTGAATGTGTATGGCATGGTCACAAGCCCTACTAGGCGGAAGATGCTTCATTGGTTGAGAAACTTCTGGGAATTCTGCCAGAATTTTCCCCCAGACTCCTTCTTCCTCCTTCTCCACCTTGGATTCTTCAGCCCTTCCCTCACAGTACACCAGATAGCCATCCCCAGCATCCTGTAAAATCTGGGCCACAGTTTCTAGAGAAATTTCAAGGGAATTTAGGTGAGAATCCCCTTGCACTGTTTGCACCTTATCTGATTCCTTCCACTTAATGCTCTGTTTCTGGAAATTGATCTCCACATCCCCCAAACTAGTAAGCCATTCCATTCCCAAAACAATATCAGTACCCCCCAATTCTAGGATATAAAAATCTTGCTGTATTTCAGTCTCCTGTAAGCATAACTTCATCCCTCCACATCTTCTATTGTTAAGCAGTTGAGCCCCATTACCAATCTGCACTTTATACCCGGCAATAATCTCATGAGGTATATTCAGTTGACTGACCATCTTCTGGGAGATAAAATTGTGGGTAGCACCACTATCAATGAGCACCTCTACTCCTCTCTCCCCCCATTTGCCTTTTAAGCATCTTTTTACCTTGAATGCCCTCATAGAGGGTATTCCCTCCTTGCTCATAAGGGACAGCTGCATCGATTTTGACTCCATAATAACCTCCTCCACTTCTGGTGTGTCATGCTCTGTGGTGTCCATCTCTTCTTCACTCTCAGAATCTTCTACCATTATCAATTTGTAATTCTTCATCGGGCATGAATGTTCCTTACTCCATTTTTCACCGCATTTAAAGCAAAGGCCCTTTCTGCTTCTGTCTTGATACTCTTCTTGAGATAGCTGAGGTGCCACACGCTTGATACTAGAGGGGTTGAATTCAGTTGCCCTTTTCCCCACAGGGTTGAACCAAGGTTGGTTTCCCTTGTGGTCTGCAAAGTTTCTTCCAGTATTATATGGCCCTGAACTGCTGGCCTTGGATCTGTACCCTTCTCCCCAGGCTGTTGCCTTATGATTCACAGCTCCCTTTTCCCTTCCAGTAGTTTTCTCCTCAACCTTGCCCTTCTCATAGAGAGCATCATTTTTCTGCTCTATCAAAAGAGCCCTATCCATAATGGCAGACAAGGATCTGGAGTTGCACAGTTTCAGCTCCGCCTTGACCTCATCCTTGAGACCGTTAATAAAGATGCCTCTCAATATTCCCCTGTCAATCTCCCTCTGAGGAGCCATCACCATTTCGAATTCCTCCCTGTAATCTGCCACAGTTCCTGTTTGTTTCAAGCTCAGCATTGGGCCATAGGGGTTCTGTATTAAGTCCGGTTGGAACCTGCGAATCAAAGCATCCTTCAGGTTTTCCCAGGTTCTCTCTTCCGCCTGATGCTCCCACCATTGGAACCAATTCAGCGCTTTATCCTCCATTGCCACAACAGATACTTCCACCCTATCCTCTTCTTCAATATTGTTCAGTCTGTAATAACGCTCCATTCTCACGATCCAATTGTATGCACCCTCCCCATTAAACATAGGTAAATCCACCTTCCCGTTTGAACCCGACGCCTGTGGATGGGAGAATGTACGGAGTTACCTCTGGAGTGAGTGGGTGATCGCGAGCGACGATGGTGAGGGGATGGCGATCTCCCCCTGACATGGCCGCTTCTGTTCTGATGAGCCGCCACCGACGTCGCGATGCTTGTCTGAATCTGGTCATTGATCGTGGCCATGAAGTTTGTCATTGCCGTCCTCATCTCCTGCATCTCCCGCTCAAAGGTGTCCATACGCTGCTCCATTTTGAATCTCGTTTTTACCATCCACTTTGAAAACGAGAGCTAGGTTGCAGTCGCTTCCTCACAACGATCCGATTCCCAGGAGCAAGGGCTCTGATACCAAATGATAGGTACCTGGCGGAGATCTGAATGTAAACAGTAAAGAGCAAACACCGATGTAATAAAAGTAATAGGGGAATGATATATTGATGATAAGGGTAGACAGCAGATACAACCGACTTAGGCAACAGGGACTCTCAAGGCAACTCTACATCAAAATAATAGTCTGCCCTAATAAGCTATGCCCTCTTTCTATTTATAGTAAAGATATCCACGCATGGATAAAAAAGGCTAAAAGGGCTACTGGGCTTGTTATTAATTAATGGACTCCCTATTTCTCCTCCTGTAAACTTTGTTAAAATACTGGATAGGCCCCTTAGTCCCATCAAAATGCCTAAGGGCCCGTGCCTTAGCATTTTGCAGAAATGTTTCAGTTCGATAGAAACTGTAAAAATGTATTCTCTGGGCATATCTGTAATAAAAAAAATGGGAAACACGTTCTCCTGATAACTCACATTACAAAATGTTACACCTATATCACTGGCTTAATTACAAAAATAAAAAAAATGGGGATTTAGGTTTAAAGTTGGCACTGAAACTTAACCGTTGTGTCACCCACTTTTGATGTGTGCGGGTGTATGGAGTTGGTACAATGTTACCTTGCTGGAATCCATTAATTCTTTCTCTTATGACTAATACCTTAATATATGTGTGGGCGGGTATGATACCTTAAAGGCTTGCAAGTTTCTCAAATCCGTACTCAAGTGAAAGTACTATTCTTTATTGTGCATGTGATATGAAGCGGGAAGAGCTTGTGGCGGGACCGGGCTTGGGCCCACTTCCGTGGGCCGGTTACGGGCTGTCTTTATAATTATTTATTGTTATTTTAAGTTAATGTTATGTTTTGGTTTGGGCCTTTTATTAGTAGAATAGTTAGTAGAGTAGTATGGGCCTAATTAGGATTTAATTAATTTGGGCTTGATTAGGGTTGCTTGTAGAGGGCTATTTATACCCCTCGCCAGGGTTCATTCTTATCATCTTGGAATAAAAGTTTGGTTTAGCCTTTTGGCTCTGGGCAACGGTATTAATTTATCGTTGATTATCTGGGCAACGGTTCACCCCGTTGATTTTATTTTTCTGTTCTTATCAGCATGTGCATATATATATGAAGTGAGTACACATGTCTGTATATATAAATATCTGAAGAATTTTTAAAAGTGTTACTAATTACTATATTAACGTGCTTATCCCATATTTGTACACTTAGATTTTACACATTATTATTAGATGCTAAGTCTAAAATTCATTTTTGTTTAGGATACCTCCAATTCTACACCTCTCTGTTTTGTTTATGAGCTTTACTGCTTTGAACCATGGTGTACCCCTACTTTAAAACACTTTTATATTGCTACACATATTTTTGTTTGGCTAAATGATTGCAAGTCTGACTTATAACAGTCAGTTTTCCCTTACTGGACTTCATGTACTTGCACAATGTATATGACTATATTCTATGGAATTTTTATATCTTCTTTGATATAAAAATTTTCTTATCATTGACCTTGTGTCCAGTGTCAATTGCATCCTACGCTGGATAGACTACAAAAAGGAACCAATTTGTCCTCAGTGCAAAAAACCATTCGAGTTTCTGAACATCCATCGGGCACTTGATGGGAGGTATGCTACCGATTTTACAATTAACATGGCAGCGTTCTTGAAACGTAATCATATTTTCGTGTTTTCCGTCAACAAAAATAGAGTTGTACTACATATTCTAATAACACTTCTTTTAGAAAATCTCAAACGAAGTGTAGTTTGATAAAACGAAGCGAATTTTTCATGCAATTTTCCAAAAGAGTGTCACACAAACAAGTTACATATGGTAAATTTAGTTGAAGCAAACGAGCAAATTTTGAAATATCTAAGTGTCATTCATGATTTATGATTACCTTATCAAAATCCAAAATTGTATGTTGGTCAAACACGACTTTGTCTGTGACGGGGGTAGTAAATTTGGTCCCATACATTGGGAGTGGGGGTGGGTCTCAAGAAGGGCATAATCTAGCACACTTTTCCCGACTCCACCAGTTTTTGTAGAAGCCCACCTTGTATATTCTGAGTTTATTATTATATAACTGATGTGTATCGTCAGAAGCATTTATTGGTGTTCTGTCTGGCAGCTTACATGATTACATGTTTGAGGAGAGTGTCTCCCTGCTTTTAAGGGCCTCTTGGTTTAAGCCTATGACAGTGGGGGGCGAACAACATAATACAGTTGATGATAATGCGGATGGCTTTACACTATATGATGAGTATGACAACGAGGAAGACGATCTTAATGAATCTTATTTGGGCAATTCATCAAGTGTACGCATCGGCAATAGGAGATGGGGGGATAATGGCTATGTTAGGGCAGGTAGGCTTGAAGCTAGGCCGGGTCCTTCCCCATCGCGCAATCCTATAGGCCGTCGAGCAAAAAGAGCCTTGAAAAGGGAAGCTGCTGCTGCAAAACACCAGTTGTAGCCCGGCTACTTGTGTGTGTTTTGCTTGCCGGAAGTTGAATCTTGTGTGTGATGACAGTGTTCCCTCTCTCAAGCTTTTTACCTGGTAGGGATATAGCCATATAGGATTAGACGTTGTCATATATTGTACATAGATTCATTCCTTATTCATTCCTTTCATTGGTTAAATACTTGGCGTCCGATTGTATCCCTCCCCTCCTGTGGCTTTACTTTGAAGACATTACCGTATTAATTAATGTACTATATAATTATATATTGTGTTTATCTTTAGGCAGATTGGAATGGAATAATCGAATGAATGGAATAATCGAATGGTCTCCATGATTTATACTCAGTATTATCAAGATGTACATGTAGTGATAGGAAATTATTCTGTGTTTTGGTCATATAATAAGTTCATATGCAAGTCAATCATTCGTCTAATCGTCTTGAACTCTTGATTGAGTCGTTGAACGGCAGATGTATAAATGTATCATCAATCTCTTAAAAACCATCTATGTCAGTTATTTTCTATACCCATTATCATACAAAAGTTTTAGCAACTATTAATGTATCCAATATCTAACTAATTGATTGTTAAAGAATTTGATGTGATGAATTTAAATGTAGAGCCTATTTAGTAACATTAATCTTCTTACTTATTTTGATTATCATCAAATAAAAAACTGCATGTTAGTAATAAGTTGTTTGTAAAATGGGATGAGAGTATGAACATGGCCGTTCCAATACTTATCTCTAGCTTTAGGTTACTAGAACTTCATCGGGATTGGACTGGCTATTGGTTAAAGGTAACAAAACTAATTCATCCATTTCAGGGAAAAAAAATGAAGTACATAGGTATATTAGTTAGAATCTACAATTAAAAAAGAAAAGAATATCATTTAATTATATGCTAAAAAATGAAGTTTGCACAGTGGAAGCATGAAAATATGAGATGTTATTATTTTAGAGAAAAAAACTGTCCAAATAAAATAAATTGAAAAAATATACTCCGTATATAGTAAGTATTGGATAATGGCCCAACTTATCTTTAGCCAACGAGATAGAGCTGGTTCAAGACGTATTATGATCAAGACTTGGGAATGACCCTACGTATATGAAAGAGCTCCAATTTCGCTTGGTAGGAAGTACACTCAATAATAAGTTTTGTTACAAGTGACAAGGAGTAGATTCATGCTAGCGCTACTCAAAAGTAAGAAATTACCTTGGGGATATATTGACGAACTAATGCGGAAGAAAACTTGTTTGTGCACCACTTTTTGTACATTATTATTCTATCCTTGAGTTGATCATCTTAGGCACACTTCGCAACCTTCATTCATCAATGTGATTATCGTTTTTAAATTTTGAAATCATAACCCCATTCATGTTGATGGCTATTTTGTCATTTAAGCTTGTAATTTCAAGGTGTTGGGGAATTTTTTTAATATAAAAGAGGAAGTATGTGAAAAGTCAAAGTAGGAGTTAACATGTTTTATTCTCTTATATGAGTCATCCGCTCCTATTTCCAGTTTTTATTGTTTATCCAATGTCCAAGACTACCCGTGCCCTACCTATCACTTTTTTCCGTTCAAAACTCTCATCTTCTTCAGCGGTACGCCTCCACATCTTCCTCTATGACTCCAACTTAATTCCAGGTTGCTATTCTCCCCCGTTGTCCCTACCTCCATTTGCATTAAATATTTTCAGTAAGAAATTCCACCAAATTCAGAAATCTAGGTATTTCTCCTCCTCTTTCTTCCACGTTTTTTAAAAATATCATGTTTACCCTCAAAATGTCAAAAAGTTGACCAGATGACATTTACATATGTAAAAGACATGATAGTGGTTTCTCTTTTTCCACTTTTTAAAAACTGTCATGCTTATTATGAAAATGTTATGAGAATGTCATTTTTACTCTTTGAAAATGACATATTTTGAATGTAAGCATGTACCAAAATAATGCTTGTGACAATCTGAAGAGCGCCAAGCGTTTGGTTGGAGATTAAAAAGAAATAATCCTAAACATGTTCGTAAGATGAATGTTCTGCGCCACCTTCATGAATAGCGGAGAATTATGGTTTAATAGGGGTTGCGCAGCAGAGCACATAAGTAAGATGAATGCTCATAAATCACATATTTGGAGATTTAAAAAGGATCACTTTTTATCCATCATCGACTTTTTCTTCTTCTAATATTCGGGTAAAACCCCCTAGGAAATTACTTATAATATAGAAATGATATGAAAATATTGATTGTTAAAAGTATGTTCATAAAAGTATAAAAATTTCTGTAAAAAAAAGTATAAAAAATTATAACTTCCAAAATATTATACTAATCAAAATCATTACCCAAACTTTATCACTTTTGACTTGAAAAATCAAAGATGACAAATTAAAATCTACGTCTATATAAAAAGAGGTGGAAAAGGAGACAAGTTTCCCGCCTAAAGTCACGGGTAAAATATGGGTCGGGTATAAGGGTACGGGTATCGGGGAACCAGGTTAATTAATGGGTTGGCTGACCGTACGATTGCAGCAAATGCCAGATTTTTCGACTGCTGTTTGATTACTCTGTTCGACACATCAGATCAAATTGGTTGACTCTGATTTGTTAAATCTTTATTTCATCAATACCAATGTAAAACGTACGAAATTTTGTAGTTTACATCTAATTAAACGTGCTGAAGCTCATAATTTACATTGGATGCTGAATTCGGCATTAAATGTGTCTCGAGATAGCAAATGCTTTTACAGCTAATATATTGTGTTATCCAATCACACAATTATTGATATCGACATGCAGACTGGTGTACGGTGTTACAAGATACTTCGTATAGTCCAATGGATACAACAGCATTCGGGCAATGCATAAGCTCATGGTAAATCCACTATAAATATACGTCATTTAGGAGAGCAAAGGAAGGACCAAAACATAAAGTAGACTATGCCACTAGAAGAGTTGGATTTTTACGTAGAGGGGGATGCTGGAGCTATATATTAAGACGAAAGCCATGCTAAAGGGAAGAGAGGTTGGAACGTAACTTGGAAGTGGCCTTCAGCAACGAGGAGGTATCAGTGTCTAAAAAGCTTTTAGATTTGATCTATAGTATTTCTTATTATCAATAATGATTTTAATGAACTACTTATTTAAACTAGATTTGGCAGAGGATAACACATCCTTGACTCCTTGACTACGTGTTCAGCTAACTCACACCATTAAGGGTGTGACAATATTTATATCCAGTAAGACTTTGTTTATTGAAGACTTTGTTTATTAAAAACTTTGTTTATACAAAACTTTTCATCACATTATTTTGTGGTTTAATTTCAGGAAGGACTTTTAATGAAGACTATACGTGCTCGGTGACGTCCAGGGAGATGTATATCTCATATACATCTAATATACTAACAACAACTTGGGAATCTACTCTTCCAACAACCCTATCTTTTTCGGTTCCACGTCTGGAATCTCATCATCAGAGACGATCTCCAGCTTCACCTAAGCTCTGGCGCCGTACCTACTGTCACGACGCAGCCGAACCTATCTTCTGAAGACTATATGTGCTCGGTGATCATACTATTGAATAGGCGAAAATCCTTTGGAGGCATCATACTATCATAGGGGCCAAGAGAGATGTGATGTATGGAGGAACGAAGTTTGTGGACACAAAGGGGGGCAGGACACAGAGGGCTTCAGAGAGCATCGGTTCAATCCATGACTCTTCTGGACCGATGGGTATAAGTGGAGCAGCGAAGGTTTATTTGCGTTATATAGAGGGTAGGGTAGGGTTTGGTATGGTATTAAATGGACAATATTAAATGGGATAGCTGGGTTGGATTTTGGGCTAATTTCATTTGAAAAGGCTGACAAAAATGTAATTGTATTGTTTGAGTGTTCTTGAATATTCCTCACTTCTTGAAGGGATGGAAAATTTATTTTTATTGTGATTTTATCATATACATAATCATAAAACCATTATCATTTACTCCGTACTCCAAAAAAATATCAAAATTTATTTATATTGGAGTATAATGCAAGATGAAGGTATTCTAAGAAAATGTTTCAAAAAAAAATTAACTTAGTATGGAATATCAGGGCCGGCTCAATAGATTACCGGTGCAAATCACGTAAAATAGACCTTATATTAAATAAATATAATATAAAAAACAGCCTTTAAAAAAACCCAAAAATACTACAATCAAATGACATTGAGATATAATCATATTTGGAACCTTAACAATCAAAATTAATAAAAAAAACTAGAACCGAAAAGAAATGAATTAAAATCATGAACTAAAAAATATAGAGTAGGATGTTACTGAAAAAACTACTCCCTCTGTTCCTTAAAACCAAGCTTGTCCAAACTGTACGAGGAATTTGTGCTAATTACTATAACTAGGCCTTATCCGGACCTTATGTAATAAAGAAGTTGCACATTTATAATTAACAATTGCATTTTAATTACATATAAATATTAGTATTTAATGTTTGCATTTAAAAACAAAATACTAAAATAGGAATCTTTAATCAAATAAAAAAAGATTTTGTATATTATGTAGACTATATTTAAAATTTTGGGCCTTCTGAATCGAGAGGTATTGTGCGGTATCACTTCTTGCACGCCCTCATCTACAGCTCTGTGGAACATAATAAAAGTATATCATAATTTTATAAAAAATTAATATTTTTATATTTATATTTTATACTACGTTTAATTTAAATTATACTCTATAATTTTTATTTATATATATTTTACATAATTTATATATTTTAATTATCTACTCCAGTATAAAATTTTGTTTAGAACAAAGTCTTTTAAAATTTATAGCTTGCTCCCTCATTATGATTACATATCGCGTGTTTTTTGAATATTGCAAACGTTAATGACTTGGAAATCATATCCTAGGGGCAAAAATAATGAGCGGAAAATATGTCGGGCATGAGGTTGTCATTCCGAGGTTAAGATTAACTCATTCGGATTCAAGAATACTGTTCAAGTTTCAGAGAAGACAATTTCTGGTCATGACCTCTTATGCAATGACTATAATAAGAGTCAGAGACAATCTTTGTCTCATGTTGGAATCTTATTGAAAAAATTGGTCTTCACGCATGGTCAAATAGTCAATTGTATGTTGCAGTGTCAAGGGTTACAAATCCTAAGAGTTTGAAGATATTGATCTGCGGTGAAGATGGACAGTCAACTGACCATACCACCAATGTAGTTTATAAGGAAGTGTTTCGCAAAGTGTAGATTGGGAAGCCCTATATAGCATTTACTTTTATCTACTTATTCTATAACATATTTACTACCTATCTCTGAGTTTTCACTAGCCGATCTTTAATTATATTTTTTTT